GTGGGGAATTGGAAAGATCCTCCTTTACTTCTAATGAGCATTAAGTTAGTGGAATGACTACAAAGAAGGCTACTTAAGTAAGTTTTAGATCTTCTAAAAGTCTTTGTATCTAACTGAGTTTCCACTCAAATGAATCATTCAAGTATGGGATTGGAACTCAGTTTTTCTAATTACTATTTTAAATTGCCAGAAGGTGTGTGTTCTTGCCAGAAATGGAGACAGAGACAGAGGGAGAAAGTAACTCCCTCAACCCCTTGTAGTGGAGTGTGATTATGCCATAATCCCTTCTCCCCCATTTCTCTATCCTGTTGGGATTTTGGGCATGCATGCATATGTGTCAGGCATGTTTTTCAAGCCATACAGGCTGGGATTTGAACTGCGGTTAGCCATATGGAATCCAGTTCCCTTAACCACTAGCCCGTGGGCCAGCCTGGGATTTAGCTTTTTAAAGAGCTTCTTGGCTACCCCAGTTATCTTAGCCATCTCCTCATTGTTTCCAGGGTGTGGTATAAAAATATGTCATTTTTGCACAAGAGATGCTAATACAACCAGAGGCATGTGGGACTTTTTTACTTTTTGTGACTTTATCCTTTTGATGTAGGGAATCCCACCCACAGTATGCGCAGGCTCTGGAACATCCACTACAATAACATCTGATGGCTGCTCTGCTTTGAAGAGTGTTTTAGGAACAGGAGAGTGTATATTTTCTTTTTTCTTTTCTCCTTCTCTCCCCACCCCCCAATTAATAGCAACAGATATTTATAAGTTTTGAAATTTCCTAGGGATAAATTTGTGAGTACTCACATGTACAGTAAGATGTGCCTTTTGGGAAAACAGTTTTTATTACATTGTTCACAATCATAGGGTTGCTCTCCTGTGTTGAGTTCTTTGATGTACAGTGAGGGTACATTTCCAGGAGAATATTTTCCTTCAATGTTCACATTCATAGGGCTTCTCTCCTGTGTGAGTTCTCTCATGCGTAGTGAGATGTGACATCTGGGAGAATGTTTTCCTACATTGCTCACATTTATAGGGTTTGTCTCCTGTATGCGTTCTACTACGAACAGTGATGCTGTGACTTCTGGGAGAACATTTTTGTACATTGTTCACATTCATAGGGTTTTACTCCTCTGTGCGTTCTCCAATGCCTAGTGAGAACTGACTTGCAAGAGAACGTTTTCCTACATTGTTCACATTCATAGGGTTTTACTCCTCTGTGCGTTCTCCAATGCCTAGTGAGAACTGACTTGCAAGAGAACGTTTTCCTACATTGTTCACATTCATAGGGTTTTACTCCTCTGTGCGTTCTCCAATGCCTAGTGAGAACTGACTTGCAAGAGAACGTTTTCCTACATTGTTCACATTCATAGTTCTCTCCTGTGTGAGTTCTCTTATGTACAGTTAGGTACCCATTGCTGGACAATATTTTCCCACATTGTTCACATTCATAGTTCTCTCCTGTGTGAGTTCTCTTATGTACAGTTAGGTACCCATTGCTGGACAATATTTTCCCACATTGTTCACATTCATATGGTTTTTCTCCTGTGTGCGTTCTCCAATGCATAGTGAGAACTGACTTGCAGGGGAACCTTTTCCTACATTATTCACATTTATAGGTCTTCTCTCTTGTGTGCATTCTCTTATGTACAGTTAGGTACCCCTTGCTGGAGAATGTTTCCCCACATTGCTCACATTCATAAGGTTTTTCTCCTGTGTAAAATCTCTGATGGTCAATGAGATGTGACTTCCAGGAGAACATTTTCCTACATTGTTCACATTCATAGGTCTTCTCTCCTGTGTGAGTTCTCTTATGTACAGTTAGGTTCCCCTTGCCGGAGAATGTTTTTCCACATTGTTCGCATATATAGGGATTTTATCCTGTGTGAATTCTCTGATGCTCAGTGAGATGTGACTTCCAAGAGAACATTTTCTACATTGTTCACATTCATAGGGCTTCTCTACTCTGTGAGTTCTCTTATGTACAGTTAGGTTCCCCTTGCTGGAGAATGTTTTCCCACATTGTTCACAATCATAGACTTTTTTTTTCCTGTGTGAGTTCTCTGATGCACAATGAGATGTGACTTCTGGGAGAACCTTTTCCTACATTGTTCACATTCATAGGGCTTCTCTCCTGTGTGAATTCTCTTATGTACAGTAAGGTTGTGCTTGCGATAGAATGTTTTCCCACATTGTTCTCATTCATAGGGTTTTTCTCCTGTGTGTGTTCTCCCATGCCTAGTGAGAACTGACTTGCAGGAGAAACTTTTCCTATATTGTTCACATTCATACGGCTTCTCTCCTGTGTGAGTTCTCCAATGATTAGTGAAGTCTGACTTGCAGGAGAACATTTTCCCACATTGTTCACACTCATAGGGTTTTTCTCCTGTGTGTGTTCTCCAATGCTTAATGAGAACTGACTTGCAGGAGAAACTTTTCCTACATTGTTAACATTCGTAGGGCTTCTCTCCCGTGTGAGTTCTCTTATGTACAGTTAGGTACCCCTTCCTGGAGAATGTTTTCCCACATTGTTCGCAATCATAGACTTTTTTTCCTGTGTGAATTCTCTGATGCACAATGAGATGTGACTTCTGGGAGAACATTTTCCTACATTGTTCACATTCATAAGGTTTTTCTCCTGTGTGTGTTCTCCAGTGCATAGTGAGAACTGACTTGAAGGAGATCCTTTTCCTACATTGTTCACATTCATAGGGCTTCTCTACTCTGTGAGTTCTCTTATGTACAGTTAGGTTCCCCTTGCTGGAGAATGTTTTCCCACATTGTTCACAATCATAGACTTTTTTTTTCCTGTGTGAGTTCTCTGATGCACAATTGATAGAATGTTTTTCCACATTGTTCACATTCATAGGGCTTCTCTTCTGTGTGAATTCTCTTATGTACAGTTAGGTTGTGCTTGTGATAGAATGTTTTTCCACATTGTTCACATTCATAGGGCTTCTCTCCTGTGTGAGTTATCTTATGTAGAGTTAGGTGCCACTTGCTGGAGAATGTTTTCCCACATTGTTCACATTCGTAGGTTTTCTTTCTTGTATGAATTTTTCAATGTCTACTAAAGACTGACTTGAAACTGAAAGATTTTCCTCATTCCCCACATTCATAGGATTTCTCTCCAGTGTGAGTTGTCTCATGCACAGTGAAGTATGACTTCTTGTAGAACATTTTTCCACATATTTTATTTTCACAGGTTTTCTCTCCTATGTGACTCCTTTGATGTACGTTGAGGTCTGAATTCTGGGAAAATGTTTTCTTACATTGTTTATGCTCATAGGGCTTCTCTCTTGTATAAATATTCAGACAGTCAGAAAAGGCTGTATTCAGACACAATAAGTTCATATATTGTTCTATCTACAAATTTTCTCTCCAGTAAGAGTTGTCTCATGTATAACAACAGTTAAAAGCTTTGGTAATTTATACACATTATAAGGGTTTACTTCTCTGTTCTTTCTCTGGTTATCATAATGTTTGACCTCCGCAAAAAGGATTTTTGATGTTTATTATATTTATAGGGTGATACCCTTGTGTGCATTCACTGATGAAAAGGTAGATTTTAATTCTTCAATAAGGATTCCACTTCCTCTTTATATGGATATCTTCCACTTTGTGTTTAAAATCTACTATAAAAATGATTTCAAAAAATACTTTTTCACATTCTCTACATTTATAGTGTGCATCTCATGTTTCTATTTTCTGCTGAAAGAGACAGACTGTTTGTAAAATGCTTTCTTCCACACCTGAACTATATGCTGGGCAATGAGAACTATATTAACACATGCTTTCCCATATTAATTTTAATTACAAGCAGTCCCTCCCATATCCATCCTCTTTGGATGAAAAAAGACAGGGACCAGCAGTTAGCACAATGGCTATGTCACTGGACTCCCATGTAGTCGACCATGGTTCGCATCCTGGACCCAGTGGCTTAAAACTCACGATGGGCACGTGTGCATGCGTGCCCAAGATTCTGAGAGGAGAATAGAGGAGAAGGGATTGCACCGTGGCCATCCCCCCTTGGGGGGGTGATTTCTCGCTTACTGTCTCTCTCGGTCTTTCTGGTGAGCACATACGCTCTATGGCAAAAACCTCTCCAAAAAAAAGACAACCATTTCCATAAATTATATTTGAGAATTTATTTTACACTGCTCATGTGTATTTCAAATATTCATACTGATTAATAATAAGAAATATGGGTTTTTGTTCTTAATGTGTTACTGGAGCAATTTACATTAATATTTTGAAAGCTAGGTGGATTTACTTTGTTCCTTTATGCATCTCTTTCCTTTAATACCTTTAACAATATTTAAAATATCTACCATCTGTCTTCCTATAATTTTATACTGAAAGATTTCCATGTGTTATTACTTTTCCCTGTCCTTTTTCTCTTTGCTTCCTTATAACAGTGGGTATTGTGTACTGTTTCTTTGCTAATGTGAACAGTTTTCTAGATGATCTATTTGCAGAAGTCAAAAAGAACTCTTGCCACTTAAGTAGAACTGTTACTTAGGAAGGACTTGTAGCCAATAAAAATACATACTAAGTACTCTAAACATGTCATCACTTAGGACGCTGTAAAAAATATATACCCTGGGACCAGCAGTTAGCGTAATGGCTATGTCGCTGGACCTCCATGTAGTCGACCATGTTTTGCGTCCCGAACCCGGTAGCTTAAAACTCATGCCGGGCGCGTGTGCGTTTGTGCCTAAGATCCTGAGAGGAGAATGGAGAAGGGATTGTGGCGTGGCCATCCCCCCTGGAGGGTGATTTCTCGCTTTCTGTCTCTCTGTCTCTCTCTGTCTGTCTGGTGAGTGCACGCTCCCTATAGCAAAAACTTTTAATATATATATATATATCTCCCATTTTTTTCACATTCTTATTCCAGGAAAACATTTCTACATTTTTCTAACCTCACCAGTACTAACATTTTGTTTTCCCCTTTCAGTAAAATATAAATTCTTTAAAAGAAAATGCATTACACTCGTCCCTGAAAAGTATGCACTGACTAACCTGGGAGGCTCAAGTTGGGAAGTTCTTCGAATATCCTTGGATCTCCTCCTTGCTCCAACTTGAAGACACTCCAGGTTTGGCAATGCTTTGTCCTGTTAATAAAGAGCAATGTCGAATTTTGCCAAACTATTGTTGTAAGCTATATGAAGAGTAACAACAGTTCAGTTTTATCAGCAATGCAATAAAGGGGCTGATTTCAGCATTTTGTTAAAGAGGAGTGCCACTCACATTAACCACAGAATGAAATATCACTCCTAAACAGCATTAAACATTATGAAGCTCTTAATTATTTCTGAGAGCTTCTTGGGAGATCCACTAACCCAAAAACACCAGGTTGCAGTAGGTCTCCAGCATCACATCCTTGTGTAGAATCTTCTGAGCATCTTCCAGGTCCTGCCACTACTCCTAGGTAAAGTCCATAGTAACATCCTCAAATGATATGAACCCCTGTAAAAATACATTTTCCCACATTAGCCCTGAGAAACAGAGCATAACATGGGAAATTTACTTTCTCTATTTGTATATGCTTGTCCCTCTGTATGTTTCTGAACTCTTTCTAAAGGAAGAAAAAATAAAGTACAAACATCCTATCTCTATGCTAACTTATTCATTGCTAAATTTATTAGATTACATATAACTTTACAGTGTATTACATTGTTTTTTCAAAAGGGAATGCCATGCATGTCAGTCAGTACAGAGACATTAATCTCCCCACTTCAACATTCCATATCTTTTCTGTTTTCCCCAATCATTGTTTTTATTATTCTAATTATTTTTATAAAACAGTCAATTGCTATTTCTCGTTTTGCTTGTAAAAATACTTTGCCCATCGTGAAATACTTCTCAGACCAATCCAGTTGAGAATACTATACATGTCATCATCAACAGTTAATAAGCCCTATCTGTTTCTCACTAACGTCCTGTCTCTCTGAACTCTTTCTAATGGGAGAAAAAATAAAGTACAAACATCCTATCTCTATGCTAACTTATTCGTTGCTAAATTTATTACAAGTATTTCCTCAGAGATCTCCAAATGCTGCAAGTGATGAAAGCGTAATAAATATTCTGCTATTTCAAGGTGTTTATTATCTCATACAAACACGTAAGTATAAATATATATCTAGAGAATTGTGTTAGATTAATAAGTTAGACACAAGTTTATTGGAACCATTCTAAAAAAACCCAGAAAGGTGTTTTCTTTTTTTCCTCTAGTATCAATTTGTACTTGAAGTCAATGATGTTAACACATATGTAAATGTTCTTATGAAAATGGAACTACAGAAGGCTTCCTATGAAAGCACAAAGTATATTCCTACTATTGATGGAGGTAGAAACAGTATATCTAGGTAAGTATTCCTGGTCTGTGATCAAAGACAAGGGCAGTAAAGGTGTTTCAAGAAACTAATTACAAAATGATTTTGTATTTAAATACTTAACCTAATTCCAATAAAATATTTTATGTGCATACTGTTAATTACTCATAAGTTGAAGTATATTTATAGGCATCTTTATACTGTAGTTGTGCATTCAAAAATATTGAAAGAGTCCAAATAATGATGAATATCACTTTATCATTTGCCTAAACACAGAGTATAAATAATATAAAGCCAAAAGAAGTGATACATTATATAACCAGATTTGCAGTTTAATTGCCATCCACAGATTTCAGACTAAGGATACTCTGAAAAATACAATACCAAGTTGTGACATGACCACATCTATCAGACCATTGAGAAATAAGAATATTGTATAGGAAACTCATCCCAAAAAAAGGGAGAGGGGAGAAGAAACAATTGGTACTAATTTTTTTGTCACTGAATCAAAACAGAAATTTCACTGAATGTTTCTGTTTAAGTAGGCATATACATATGGGAATTAAAAATTAAAATTGGGAAAAACAACTCAGCAGTTCAGAGATGAATCTTGTGTATATCACCTTTGAAGTTTCAGTAGCCAAATATTGAGGAAGCAGCAGAAATTCAGGTGATAGTTGAAGCTATTCTAATCAATGAAATTGGACCTGGGGTAAACTTGCAGGTTTAAGAGAATTCAAGATTAAAAAAAAAGTACAAAAATTCAACTGGAATGGTGAGAAATGTATTCCTGTTGGAACATTCACTTTACAAGATAAGTGACATATGTAATTCAATGTATAAAAGAAGTTAAAATAAAATTAAACATGAAAAAATAATACTTACTGGTAGAGAAAGAGAAACAGACAGTTTAAAACAAGAAAAAAATTGTTAAATAATTCATAAGGAAGGGTTCGTGCGTTTCTGGGGGATGCAGATGGAAAGTGAAAAATCATTCCCAAGGAAGAATGTTTATGACACAATTCATGTTCCTCTATTTCTCCCTTCTTTCAGAATTTAAGTTGTACAAGTACATGTCCCTATTGTGATTCTCAAAATACTGGTTTTGGGACCAGCAGTTAGCTTAATGGCTATGTTGCTTGACTCCCATATAATCGACCACGGTTCACATCCCGGACCCGGGGGCTTAAAACTCACGCTGGGCGCATGTGCGTGCGTGCCCAAGATCCTGAGAGGAGAATGGAGGAGAAGGGATTGTGGTGTGCCCATTCCTCCTGGGGATTGATTTCTCACTTTCTGTCTCTCTGTCTCTCTCTCTCTCTGTCTGGCGAGTGCTCACACCCTATAGCAAAAACCTCTCCAAAAAAAGAAAGATACTGGGTTCCAGAATCAAACCACGGGGAACCAGCAGTTAGCATAAAGACTATGTTGCTGAACTCCCACGTAGTCGACTGCGGTTTGCGTCCTGGACCCGGTGGCTTAAAACTCATGCCAGGTGCTCGTGTGTGCGTGCCCAAGATCCCGAGAGGAGAATGGAGGAGAAGGGATTGTGGCATGACCATCCTCCCTAGGGGGTGATTTCTCGCTTTCTGTCTCTATGTCTCTCTCTGTCTGTCTGGCGAGCACACGTGCCCTATAGTGAAAAAACCTCAACAACAATTTTTTTAAAAAGTAAGCAAACGCGTTAAGTATAAATATATATCTAGAGAATTGTTAGATTAATTTAGACACAAGTTTATTTGAACCAGTCTAAAAAAACCCAGAGAGGTGTTTGTTTTTTTTTTTCCTGTAGTATCAATTTGTACTTGAAGTCAATGATGTTAACATGTATGTAAATGTTCTTATGAAAATGGAACTACAGAAGTCTTCCTATGAAAGCACAAAGTATATTCCTAATATTGATGGAAGTAGAAACAGTGTATCTAGGTAAGTATTCCTGGTCTGTGATCAAAGACAAGGGCAGTGAAGGTGTTCAAAAAACTGATTACAAAGTGATTTTGTATTTAAATACTTAACCTAATTCCAATAAAATATTTTATGTGCATACTGAAGTATATTTATAGGCATCTTTATACTGTAGTTGTGCATTCAACAATATTGAAGGAGTCCAAATAATGAATATCACTTTATCATTTGCCTAAACACAGAGTATAAATAATATAAAGCCAAAAGAAGTGGTACATTATATAACCAGATTTGCAGTTTAATTGCCATCCACAGATTTCAGACTAAGGATACTCTGAAAAGTACAATACCAAGTTGTGACATGACCACCTCTATCAGACCATTGAGAAATAAGAATATTATATAGGAAACTCATCCAAAAAAAAAAGGGAGAGGGGAGAAGAAATGATTGGTACTAATTTTTTTTAATCACTGAATCAAAACAGAAATTTCACTGAATGTTTCTGTTTAAGCAGGCATATACATATGGGAATTAAAAATTAAAATTGGGAAAAAACTCAGCAGTTCAGAGATGAATCTTGTGTATATCACCTTTGAAGTTTCAGTAGCCAAATATTGAGGAAGCAGCAGAAATTCAGGTGATAGTTGAAGCTATTCTAATCAATGAAATTGGACCTGGGGTAAACTTGCAGGTTTAAGAGAATTCAAGATTAGAAAAAAAAGTACAAAAATTCAACTGGAATGGTGAGAAATATATTCCTGTTGGAACATTCACTTTACAAGCTAAGTAACATATATAATTCAATGTATAAAAGAAGGTAAAATAAAATTAAACATAAAAAAATAATACTTACTGATAGAGAAACAGACCATTTAAAAAAGAAAAAATGTGTTAAATAATTTATAAGGGTTTGTGTGTTTCTGAGGGATGCAGATGGAAAGTGAAAAATCATCCCCAAGGAAGAATGTTTAAGAGACAATTTATGTTCCTCCATTTCTCCCTTCTTTCACAATTTAGGTTGTACAAGTACATGTGCCTATTGTGATTCTCGAAATACTGGGTTTGGGAGCAGCAGTTAGCATAATGGCTATGTTGCTGGACTCCCATACAGTCGACCACGGTTCGCGTCCCGGACCTGGGGGCTTAAACCTCACGCTGGGTGCATGTGCATGCGTGCCCAAGATCTCAAGAGGAGAATGGAGGAGAAGGGATTGTGGTGTGCCCACTCCCCCTGGGGATTGATTTCTCGCTTTCTGTCTTTCTGTCTCTCTCTCTCTCTCTGTCTGGCGAATGCACACACCCTATAGCAAAAACCTCTCCAAAAATATAAAGATACTGGGTTCCAGAATCAAACCATGGGGAACCAGCAGTCAGCATAAAGGCTATGTCACTGAACTCCCATGTAGTCGACTGCGGTTTGCGTCCTGGACCCGGTGTCTTAAAACTCATGCCAGTTGCGTGAGTGTGCGTGCCCAAGATACTGAGAGGAGAATGGAGGAGAAGGGATTGTGGCATGACCATACCCCCTAGGGGGTGATTTCTCACTTTCTATCTCTATGTCTCTGTCTGTCTGGCGAGTGCATGCGCCCTATAGCGAAAAAACCTCTCCAAAAATTTTTTTAAAAAGTAAAAAATAATAATAATAAAAAAAGAATTAAACCATGCAACTGACATTTGGGATCCTGCTGCCATAACCTTTATTTCATATGGTGGTCTAAATTTTTTACCATTTTAGAAATTTTAAAAAATGACTTAGTGCTAATATATTTTATAATATTCACAGCTCTATCAGAAGAAATTCTGTGTTCCATCCACAGAGGGTATATTTAAAAATATTGATTTATAATAAATGCCTTCAATAAAAGAAGATTTAGGATGTTGTTTATATCTTGGTGTGAAAGGCAGTATCACAGTTAAGAAATACTGAAAGATAAAGATATCCTACCACAATAACTGTATGTAAGGTACTAGTCAACTGAAATTAAAGAGAGACATTAAAAAAATATTAGGGCATGGGAGATGGCAGGCTGGTTAAGGTTCTGGAATATTACATATGTGACCATGGTTCGAGTTCTGGAACAGGACTTGGTGTCTTGCTTTCTGGAACTCATTCCCCAATGCTCAGTGAGTACATGTGCCATATAGTCAGTTAAATAATCATAATAACTAAAATTTAATAATTTATATATATCTGAGAGAGAAAGTCTACACAAGCTTGTACATGTAAC